TTTACACATGTTAGCTATAATGTAGCAAGATTTTTATAAATGTTCGTACACGACAGTGTTTAGTACTAATGATAAAATAAAATATATTGATAAGTTAAGACAGTGTTTAGTACTAATGATAAACTAAAAGATAATGATAAATTTTAGACAGTGTTTAGTACTAATGACAAACTAAGAGATAATGATAAGTTTTAGACAGTGTTTAGTACTAATGATAAACTAAAAGATAATGATAAGTTAAGACAGTGTTTAGAACTTATGATAAACTAAGAGATAATGAAAAGTTTTAGACAGTGTTTAGTTGTAATGATAAATTAAGAGATAATGATATGTTAAGACAGTGTTTAGTACTAATGATAAACTAAAAGATAATGATAAGTTAAGACAGTGTTTAGTACTAATGATAAACTAAGAGATAATGATAAGTTTTAGACAGTGTTTAGTTGTAATGATAAACTAAGAGATAATGATAAGTTTTATACAGTGTTTAGTTGTAATGATAACAAACTAAGAGATAATGATCTGTTTTAGACAGTGTTTAGAACTTAAGATAAACTAAGACTCTAATATTAACTAAACAGTAGTTGATCAGAGCTCACATTGCACTATCAACCCCTCAGAGGAGGACATCGAACTCCAGCCGGCCTCGTTCAACCCCTGACAGGAATAGTTACCAGTGAAATGTCTCTTAACTCCTACGAAGATCAACCTGCTGACTGTGCTTTCTTCCAGAAACTTCCCGTCCTTGTACCAGTTCACTCCGGTAAGGTTTTTAGGGTTACCTTCCAAGGTGTCGCACGTTAGGAACACAGAGGAGTTCGTTCCCTCTATAGCTATGGGAGGGTTTATTATCAGACTGACTTGTGAAGGATCTAGGATATCAATAAAATATATTAAGTTATATACGGATATATAAGTATCTGATCTTTTTGTGTTGTATTTATTTACTTGAGACACTCGAAAAATATAGTTACTTGATTTTTACGTGGTAAGAATTATTTAAAATATGTGTTGTAAATAAAACAATCTGCGCTTATAACAGTTGTAAAAATATATATATAGAATATCGTAATATTTTGTATAGATTTTAATTAAATTGGCTGTGGAGTTAAAACGCTCTGTTCTGAGTTATTAAGAGTTTGTAAGTGAAAGTAAAGAATTATTCATTACATAAAACATCCAAATGCACAAAATTGAAAGACGTCCCTCTTCCGTAAGCGTTTTTCACTTGGCAGCTATAAACCCCGGCATCCTCTCGTCTGACGCTTTTGATGTCTAACTTCGGTATAGGGTTTTTAGTTAGACGAAAACGCTCTGTCCGAGCTTGAGACAGAATTCTGTTGTCTTTGAACCACACGATCTCTGTCACGTTCGGTGGATTGGCGTTGAAATAGCAAGTTAAGACGGCTTCGTCAGACTCGTTCACAGGATAGTATCCTCGGGGTAACACTTCGACCGCTGGAGGAACTGTAAACCAAGAGAAAGTTATCTAATTCTACTAATAAAGCTTTCTTTTTAACACTTCAGAAAATCTTCAAAAATTTATCATTTCAGTGTACAAAAGTGAATTATAATATCTCAAGCCTTGTCATAGCTTTTGAAAAAAATATTTGCAGCTCCAAAGCCAAACAAAGGCATGTTTTTTTTTATAATTAATATTTTCTGTTGTTTAAGTCTAGCTAGTTTTCAAAGTAGTTTGAGAGGTTTTTTTGAAGTGTTTTGAGAAGATGTTATTGTTTATAAACAATGGTTTGAGAAGATGTTATTGTTTATAAACAATGGGTTAAGAATATTTATTGTTTATAAACAATGGTTTAAGAAGATTTATTGTTTATAAACAATGGGTTCAAGAAGATTTATTGTTCATAAACAATGGGTTAAGAAGATTTATTGTTTATAAACAATGGTTCAAGAAGATTTATTGTTCA